ACCACCCCACCCCAAAAAAAAACCCTGAAGTTGATTTCTGCAGCATATTCATAAATATTGTACTCTACCTTGAACAAACACACAACACATCAAATAGACTAGAGACAGGTAACACAGAAAATCTTTAAGGAACAAATTACAAAGGTATGGAAAAAAGAAAAATCAATGCAAGTCTTGAAAGAAAGTGTCTCAAACACTTATTGTTTTTTTTCCTAACCTGTTGCTCCTCGGCTATTGGTCTGGAATGGATTTGTTGAAGGTGCCACTGGGGCAACAGGGGCAGCTACAAATGGATTTGTGGAAGGTGTTGCTGAAAAGATTAAAAACAGTTTATTTAATAAAGTCTTCTAAAAATAGTCAGTCTGACTCACATTAAGTTTATAGAGAGATACAAATTACATAAAAAATTGGGAATTGATAATAAAATGCTTAATTTTAAATCCAACACAACAATAGTAATTTTCTGGCATCCTTTAGTAACTTCATTATAACTAATATAAAAGTATAGCACTACCAACTAAAAATTAGTAAGATGTTTGCCTACAGTCCACAAAAGGTGTTAGTAACACTTATATACCTCCAAATGGAGCAGGCACACTTGAAGATGCAGGCTGTGTCTGGGCAGTAGCAGCCACAGGTACTGTTCCAAAAGCACTGCTGAAAACAATTCATACATTCAATGGAGTTAGAATTGCTCATTTAACAATCAAATACAACTTACAGTTATTGTTGACACGTAAAAGAATAGAAAAGGAATGCTTACGTGCAGTTTGCAAACTACAATATAATTCACTGATGCCAGGAACTGAGCCCCTGATGCCAAGGTCAGAGGCTATAACTAGTGCTGAGCAATGAAAACTCATCTCTACCAACAGCAGGAGAAAGAAAATTGAATAGAGGCCATCAGAATAAAGGCTGCAAAGCAGAAGCTTTAGGGGCATTTGCAATACCAGACAGAGCTATAATAGGCGTTTGGTATTTATTACTCTAGTGATCTAAAAAAGAACTAGTTGGCATCATTTACATTATAAATATCTGGGTAACTTTTTTGCTGGGCATGATGCTATGATTTTCAGTATGCATACAAATATTCTACACAGGTGTTACCATCTAACAGGTTTAGCATGTAATGACTAGAAAGCTGAAGAACATTCTGCTGACATAAATTACTCTTAATTTTATCTTGTAATATTATATCAGACAGTACTGCTATTACTTAAAACAAAGGATGCAGTTTCAATAATACCTCTAAACGCATTCAACATTTCCCTATTTAGACAAGAAATAAAACCAGATTTGAGAAACTCCTTTGAGCTACTTCTCTGCACATTGTTGAAGTCAATGTAGGAAGTCAGCTGTTTCTAACAAAGTACCTGCTAACATTACTGGTGGAAGTATACGCGTTACTAGAGGTTGCTGTGGAGCTGAACACGCTGTCTAATTCTGCTAGAGCCGCATACTTGTCTGAAGATGCACTTGACTGATTTGGGGCTGACAACGCAGGACCTGCTGATGCTGACACTACTGTACTGAAGCCACTTCCTTGCTCACTACCACCTAGAAAGAAATAATATTAAAAATGGTGAAGATGGTTTCTCTTTCTACCCTGACAATGTTAAGAACTAAATGAAAGTTCATGGACAGTTTCAGACTTAAAATTAAATATGCACTAGGGCATAGAGGGAAAAAAAAAGTGTTTAACAAGCCATGAGCTATTAGCAAAATGTCATGCTTCTGTAGATACTCTGCAGCTCCAAAGAGCCTCTGGTTTCCCTGGAAAATGGTAACTCTATACTACCAGCATCTTCAACTAGAAAATTTAACAAAAGACATACCCTCAAATAATCCATCCAATCCAAACAAAGCTCTACAAACCAACACAAGTTTTTATATAACATTTGAGAAGAAAAAAGTTAGAGAATAACTAGTTTTTCTTCCTTAACTTAAAATCAACTAAATCCAAATATCACTGCTATTAGCTTATAAAAAACTAAAGCCAAATCTTTTTGTGGCAGAGAGGCAGGATCTCTGGCAGTTCTCTGCAACAACTATAGCTCTCCACTCAAGAGCCTTCACTACAGGTTTTAGCACAAATATAAAATATATATTTATACTTTTACATATTTTCATCATTGCAGTAATAATTATTTAGATATTTCCATTTAGAGTTATTAATCTTGATAGGTTCCCAAAAAGTAGTCTTCTGATGACATCCTTTTGGAGTGACATTAGTCTTAAAACTCTTATCTTACACACTGGGGGTAAACTGACGTGAAATTCTATTGATAACTTAAAGAAAGGACATTTTGAAATACAGTTACTATTTTGACAAGAACAATCATCTTTGTCGTAAATATGCATATGTAGAATTAGCATGTTAAAGAACAAAGTTTGATACCTTGCCCTGCACTGAAGATATTATCTAAATTAGCAAGAGCTGCATATTTGTCAGCTGACTGGAGATTCGGTTTATTCACTGCAGCTTTACTGGCTGCAGTTGCTGTTGTGTTGCTCTGAGAAGTATTGAAGGCTCCAAAATCAGCACTGGAGGATTTGGGGAAGTTATCAAAGTGAGCAAAATTGGCATTCACTGATCCAGCACTTCCACCTGTAACAAATTAAGTTAAACATGGTCAACACTCCAAAGCTAGAGAAAGTCTCTCCAACTGCAACTGATGGCACAATAATCCCACCTCTTTGTGGTTACGTGAGGCAACACGTTCCCCAGCCCCCTCCCATATGTTTAAGACCCCTTCCCTTTTCCTTCAAAGTTACATTGGGTCATCAGATTTTTATTTTTTTTTTTAACATATGTTTCAGTCTGCAGATCAAGGACCAAAAAATTCCAAATTTCAACAGTTTAAATCACAGTCATAATTTGAGCTTGGAAAACTATATGCTATTTACTAGCTGTTCCAGTAATTTCAACAATAATATTTTGCTAGAAAAATAAGTATTTGTCTGAATCTTTAATATTAAAAAATACAGAAGCTTTATTTTCCTTTCATATGTGTCTAACGAATAGCCACTATTTGCATTTACTTAATAGTACAATGTTTAATCATTTCAAATGCCAGTCATCATTCTAAGTAAAAAACCAGCGCCTGGAAGTCCAAAAGTGGAATGACTTCATGCCAAGGTTTAGAGAGATAGTTTGGTTCTCTGTTCTCAGATTTTTAGACTACATCCAGTCAGGAAAGACACAAACACAGTTCTTGATATACCAAGTCTTCAGTGACACATAAATAAATTATAAAAATATGACTTAGGTCCACACAACTGAATTTCAGTTCAAATATGAAACCATGAGCTTACATCTCTTCAGTGTCCAAACAATTTAATCTAGGCAGGTCATGTACTTAAATTTAAATAAGTCATTTCATTAAGTGTATCACATTTTGTAACAGTTGATTGAGGACTCCACCCATACTACAGAACACACAACTTTCTAGCAGCATAATCAGTAAGTTAAAACATATGCAACAGCAGCAATGAAAGTGCTACACTACAATGGCAAAAAAATGAAGCAAGCCGAGTTTTCCACTGCGTGGAACTTACTGTGTACAGCCTGGAGAGGAAAAGCTGAAGTAAATTCACCAAAACTGCAGCTAGATGAAAGCGTTCTGAACGCTGGACAGCCAGAAATTGTGTGTGGGTTAAAGATAACATAAGAAGGGAGAAAGAAAATTTGAAAAAAAGTTTAAAACGACACCACACTCAAAAGAAAAAAAAAAAAAAAAAGGAAAAGAAAGTCAGTCAGCCAAAGATCTAGACAAACAGCAAGTGTAAGCTCAGGCAGTTCTAAAGCATGATCAAATTAAAGGAAAGCAAAATAAATCTTAGCAATAGGCTCTACACGTGAAGTCAAACATACTGAAGTGTGTGCGTATGTTATACACATGCATAGACACACCTTCTTTGGTACTGTGATGTGCTTTTGGGTCTACTGAAACACTTCTCTTACAAGATAAAGAGTCAACCCAATATTTATCAAAAGTAGCATGGTTTACTCTTTTCATAGTTATTTCAGGTGTAGAGCTAACAAACGCATAGTGCCATAAATCAGACTTCTGAGTAGCATTAGGAAAAAAAAAAAAAAAAGAAAAAAGAAAATCAACGCCAAACAGAAGGAATTCATTTTGAGTTTCCCCAGAGCTTCAGATGGCTTAATTACATTAAAGCAGGCAGATGCAAGAAAAACTCAACTTAAAGACCTTCCAACATAAAGGTAAAGATTATTTAAATTAAGTATTAATTAAAAGTGCTAGGAGTTCTACCTGTATTTTGGGGCTGAAAAGAAGACTGACTTGCTGTGGGGAAACCTCCAAAATTACTCGAGCCACTAGACTGTCCAAATGCATCAAAGTTTGCAAAACCTGCATTTGCAGAGTTCTGCACTGTAAATTGCAAAGGAACAAAACATGTTAATGGATATGGGAAATAAACACAAAACCAGATGTACTAACTGAATTCATGATCATGACAGCCTTCAAGGGTTATGTCCTACCTTGTAATTTCTTTTTACATGAAAAAAATATACAATTGACAGTTATCTTCGAACAAGCTTTGACAAATCACCTTCACAGAGCTGTACCAGTTAATGCTACTTCTCTCCTCCTCACACATACTACTACTTACAACTGCATGACCTGATGAAGTCCAGTTCAGCTTTACCCTAGAGTGTTTGCAGTAGTGGCTGCTCAGGGAAAAAACAGCCAAAAAGTACAGAATACCAGACGCATACCTGTAGAACCCAAACCAGGTACCCTTCTAAATGCTAACTTCCAAAATTAGCATTTGTGGACTAACTGAACATTTCTTTGGGAATAAAAACTAGAAGATATTATTGTAACACACTGACAATTTGAATTCCTCACATATAAAGCATTTCTTCTTTGGATTAATTTAGTTTGGCACCACTTGAATAGTTTTGCCTAGGTTTATCAATTCATTTCACTGGAAAATTCAGTTTTTAAAAAAACTAAATCAGAATACAGAAATACGGAAAATCAATACCAATGTCAAGAAGATAGAATTCATAGAGTGTATCCACAAAATAAAATCCAAGGAAATTTCAAATAGAATTTCAGTTTCCGCCTTCCTTTCGTGCCATACTATAGGAGAAAATAAAAGTTAACACCCATCTAATTTCAAACAGCTGGACATTCAAGCATCTATAGATTCAACAGGAATTGAGTGCCTAACTGATATGCTCCAAATAAAGTCTTAAACACTATAATAAGCAAGAAGTAAGGGGGGAAAAAATGCAAACCAACCCCCTATATATAGGCAACTTGAGTTACTATCTAAAGAAAGCCCACAAAACACCTTCTAGAGTAACAGATGGCAGTACATTATATTTTTGGGTCAGGACTTGTTTACTCTGGAAGGATTTTAAAATAGTAAGTTATGCTGATTGTTTAAGTACTGTTACTTAATAGTCAGATAATACTAATAAAAAGTTGCATTATTTCACTTAATTTCTATTAAAAAAAAAAAGCATCTGCACTACAGATTTAAAAACTAAAAGGACATTTTCATACAAACTACTACATTCTAAAATGCTGCTAATATAAATGAAAGTGTAAGTATTTCCCCTCACAGGGTTCACTGGGAGAGAGGGTGAGGTTTGATTCTACTTGATACTTTTTATTAGAAGTGTACATGCATATTGGGTTTACATGGCACAGTTTTGGTATCAGGGGGCTGCAGCAGTGGCTGAGAAGCTGCCCCCATTTCTGACAGTCAGCTCCAGGCAGCTCCAAAACAGACCTGCCACTGCCCAAAGCTGAGCCCATCAGCAACGCTGGTGGCAGCTCTGCAGTAACATCTTTAAGAAAGGGTAAGAAACACTCCGCGACAGCTGTAAGAGAGAGGAGTGAGAAAAATGCAAGATAAACGACCCTGCAGACACCAAGGTCAGTGAAGAGGGAGAAGGAGGGTATGCTCCAGACACTGGAGAACAGATTCTCCTGCAGCACATGCAGAAGGCTACAGTGAAGAATGTTGTCCCCTTGCAGCCCATGGAGGACCATGGTGGAAGACCTATCCACACTGCAGGCTGTGCAGGACCCCACACCAGCGTAGGCAGAGATGCCCTGAAAGAAGCTGGAACCTGGGGAAAGCCCATGCTGGAGCAAGCTCCTGGCAGGAGCTGTGGCTAATGGAGCGGAGCCCATGCAGAAGCAGGTTTTCTGGCAAGAGCTGTGACCCTGGGGGGTGCAGCCCACACCTGAAGGGCCATAACCCATGGAAAGGACATATGCTGGAGCAGTTCTTGAAGAACTGTAGCCCATGCCAAGGGCCCACGTTGAAGAAGTTTGTGAAGGACTGTGAGGGACCCTACAGTGGAGCAAGGGAACAGCATGAGGAGGAAGAAATGGCAGAGGTGAAGTGTTACGAACTGACTGCAACCCCAGTTCCCCATCTTCCTCGGGAGGTAGGCAAAAGAGTCAGGAGTGAAACTGAGCCTCGAAAGAAGGGGTGAAGGTGGTTTTAATTTTATTAATTGACAATAAATTAAGCTAATCTTCCCCAAGCTGAGTTTGTTTTGCCCATGACGGTAACTGGTGAGTGATCTTCCTGTCTTTATCTTGACTCACAAGCTTTTTCATCATATTTTCTTCTGCCATTCTGCCAAGGAGGAGGAGTGAGAAAGCAGCTTAGTGGGCACCTGACAGTCAGCCAAGGTCAACCCACTACAGCATGAGAGTCAACAAGAAGGGGGAAGAAGGAAAAAAAAAAATTCACCTTTAAAAGTATGCAAGGAGAAAAAGTTGACACAGAGGAAAAATAGTTTCTATTATTATACCATCTGTACTGGTTCAAACAGCATTCTACAGACTTCAATCCTAAATTCCAGTTTGGAGTTTTTTGTTTGTTTTGGTTTTAAACCAATAGCTTTTTAAGAGGAACAAAGTAAGAATTCAATTACACCTTGCTTTAAAATCAAAGTGATGCTTTCATCCTGATGCACCAATTGGAGAGGGGCTACTTGGAGACTGACATTTAGCTGACCGAACAGGATTAATACATAAATGTCACTCCTAGAATTGTGACAGAATTTTTCGTTTTAACCACTCACATGAACAGAATACTACGTCAAGAATCTCAAATGAAAGATCGTTTTGGTCTAGATTAAAAAATGGAACGTATTATATTACAGGCCTCAACAATTGTAGTGCATTAGCTGACATAGAGTACGATTTGCAAGTGGGTCCATGTTAAAAAAGCTGTAAAGACTCTTCTGCAGAGTATTCAGATGTTAATCTTGCTGTATTTTATGTGGTAAAGTCTAAACCTATGTAAAAGTGGCACAAAGGTAAAGACCAGGTACGACTTGTACTTTCTTGTACCTGAACAATATGTCGATCATGTTTTTAAGGATGGATTAGCAATTCCAAAATTCAGTTCTCCATGCAGAAATCCAAGAACAACCCTAAGTAAGCTAAGGAAGTGTAGTGGATTGCAGATTGGCATATTTACAGCTTGGCAGATTTACAGCTGCTGTTATGACTGCAGAGCAATGAGGCAGTACAAAAGCTAGGTGACTAAGGCTAGCTCAAATGTGACATCACCAGTCATGGCAATGCAAGCTGCCCCTACAATCTTTGCATAGTTTCTTCTGTGAGGGCTGCCCTACCTAGTGTGGAATAAAGGCATGAAACATTGCAAAACAACAACAACAACAAGAGGTCCACATATATTCAATTACAAAATTGAAAATAATTCTCTAGGAAACAATAACTATGCCATGCTATTTTATTTCTTGTGGGTAAAGCCTCTTCTCCCTTGTTACCTGTGAGTTGTGCTGTCTCACTACTCATTTTCAAAATCTTTTGTGCAGCTCTTCTATTTGTCCTAGCTTCAGCTGGGATAGAACTAGTTTTCTTCTTAGTAGCTAGAATCGCACTGTTTTGGATTTAGTATGGGATTTGGTATGAGAAGAACATTGATAATACACTGATGTTTTCAATTGTTGCTAAGAAATCAAGGACTTTTCAACTTCCCATACTTTGCTAGCATGCAGGTGCACACGAAGATGGGAGGGAGCATAGCCAGAGCAATGGATCCAAATTATTTAGTTAACCACAGTGTACACGAAGGGAAAGATAAAAGTCCATCTCCTGTAGGCATAGCTAAAACCAAGCCCTAAAACAAGAACACCAGACCATAAATTTTGAGAAAGCACTGCTAGACTAAGTGCAAGTTCTTCCATCCTCTATCGTTCTGTGTGACTACTAACAAGAATTACATGTTTATACATCTCCTTAAATGAGCATTTAAAACTCATTTTTGCCAAAGCTGGTAGACTGATCAACCCTCATTGTGTCCCAAAGGGAAGAGTCCTTAACATTTCATTATTAGTTTCAGTTAACACTGCCCTGTGGTTACTGCACATGGAAAAGCCTTGTGTTTTACCCTAGCAAGTCAGGTATCACCTTCAGATAAACCAGTCTGCAATACACTTTCTGCTATCACATGCTCAGAATTACATTTTTGTCTTTTAGAAACTGATTTACCAGCCCTGAAACTGTTTTGGGTTCTAAAACTTACGGAAAAGAGTCACAGGAATGATCACAGTGGTTAGTTATTGAAACGGAAAACTAGTCAGTACAGCTGAGTATTCCTCTGAATTTTGATTTTCAGCACTTATTTCAACTAGAAATTAACAGAATCTTTCACCAGATTACATTTATTCTGGAGTGTTCATATTGCTCTTTATCCTTTTAAAAATTACTCAGCAGAGATGCAGTGGACTTTTACCTAGGTTTGGAACACAGCATTGAAATATTGCTTTAATGTAATTTTCATCTCCTGAAATCCACAAAGAGTAATTTAAGTGTATATAAATATAGAATCA